CTGCACAGTAACCAGCCGTCAGCTGCGTAGAAAAAGATCCTGGTGTAGAAAGTAATATTAAATAAATTCTAATAACAGCTTATCAAGCTTAAACGTGCTGCTGTTGTTCAGCCGCTGGTTTCCTCTTTCTGGCGCGAAGTGGGCCAAAAACAAACGAGCGAAAAGCCGATCAGCTGATCATTGATCAGTTTCACGATTGAAGTAGCAACAGGAGAGAGAGAGATCTTGATCATCAGTTATCCACACACTTCATTTTTTCCACAAATTGCATTAAGACTCTGTATGTAATCAGCTTGAAGCGCATCTGCTCCAACGGGTCAAGGATATTTCTCCACCGGTGTTTGCACACGAGGTGACTTTTACTCTTCTCGCCACCTAACTTGCATTCACTTCCTTTAAAGGCCAACACAAGTTAACACGTCTGAAGCCTTGATAAGAAAGGAGAGAAAAATGATAACTATGTAAGTCTGGAGAAAACAAGCGAGAGTAACTAAACAGGAAACAAGCCCTGTTTTTGTGTCTGAAATCCAACTGAGGTCACAGGGATTTAAAAATAACTGATGACAATAACTTGACCACAGTTCAAGACTCTACAGGGAGGAACTCAGTCAGTGAGGACATCCTCCCAGTCTGCTTAGAGAAGCTTTTGGAACAAAACCATGGCAGCGAGAGCTTTCTGGAAAACATAATCTTCTTGTAATTACTCAAAGTTGATAGCTGCCATCTGTGTTTTACAGTAGGAATAAGTTTCCTCGTCTAATCAGATATTTCCTTTGGTTATACTTAAGAGTAAGATGAGGGTCTTTATTTGGAAACCGTGATTAAAAGCTAATGTCACGAGAAGAGATCAGCTGTGGTTTCTCTGTGGAGGCTGATGTCAACAGGAGCCCCGAAACATGTAGCTTGGTGATAACGTGGAAGGATTTGGGTGATTGCTTTCAACAGAAAAGCTTTAGGAAAGTTTGTTACTAAGGTAAGACAATAAAATTAGGTTCAACAGTAGTTCAAGTATTTTTTTGCACTGTTCTGTCTACATCTGGTCAGTTTTCTGTCAAAGTTATCTCTCACTTTTTAATGAGCTGAAAGTTTTATTGTCCTTTTCTGCTTTTTACTGTAAGTTAAACAGCAAAGTCATACCACGTCTAACCTTTTGGGCTCAACTAACTCGCTAAATATTTGATTTGGACGTGACGAACTGGTATCCATTTCATGGAAACAAAGGACCACATGTCCGATCGCACAACAGCGTCTGGCTGAAGTACTTAATATCCTCCAGTGTCAACAACAGCCCGGTGTTTTTTCTTTTCCTTTCTTCTTCGTTTCTATATATATTTCTCTGGGACATATGGAAATGTAGTTAAATGTAGACTTTATTATTTTTGAACCACAGATAAAATGTGACACTTTTGAAACACGCTTCACAAATCCGCCATTCTTTCATAAATTACTTTCGCGCTGATTTTTCACAAAGGGAGTTAAAAATGTAATCCAAGGTTGGGACCTTTAAGAAACAAGTTTTCATTCCCAGGAGGCCCAAAAGGTGCAGACCACCAAGGAATTCGTAAAATGAGGGGGTGTGGAGCCGTCCAAAGCCCCAAGGAAAGTAAAACCATTAGAATATGAATGGCTGTCTGTCACTCTGAGCCCGGTTTCCTGGCTTTTCAAGGTTAATGCATTTATCGGGCTGAAAGGCAGGATTAGCCACCCCGAGCTGCAGAGACACAAGTTTAACCCTCCACACACCAAAGACTGGGGGGTTTAAATCTAACCGTGCATATGTTAAATGAACAGTGGTTACAATAATTAGTTTTAGTTCTATATTTAGTGATTGCAACTCCTAAAAACACAATTTGATTGGACTCTAGAAGGACACAAAGGTATGTAAGAGCAAGTTTAAACATTTGTATGACTCTTTACTGCTGTGCAGTCACTCACCATCCTCGCTGGTGTGCGTCTCTGTTCCTCCCTCATTGTCTACCTCCTCCAGAGCTCCATGCTCGCTATAGGGGCTCTCACTGTTGGGGACAACATCCAAATTACCAGGGTCACAGCCACAACAGGGCTCAAGGACTAAGGTACATTTCAACAACAGACACACAAAATTTTAATGATAAAATGCCATTCGAGACAAGATAAAAAGCAGGGAGGTTTTTTACAGTTAATAAGACATGGAGGATGTTCAACCAGCAGCCATTATCAAGAGTTTCCCATTGTGTGGTTAGGAAGTCTTTCTAAATGATCATCTGGAAATAAAGAGTGAGAGCTGACAGGAACGCCTCACATGACCGCAGATTACCCCGGCCAGGAAATGAACGTCTCCGTCCAAGCTAACATGTCAGTAGCAACCTCCTCTTTAGGGAGAGGAGGAGGCAACGATTGGAAAAGAAAATCCCAGGGGTTGTGCCTCACTCGGGGAGACACAGCCACGCTGAGACAGGTGATTTACTCTGGCCAGAGATAAATCGCTGTCAGGCTGCGGTGACGTGGGGGCAGCACAGAAAAGGAGAAACAGAGGTAGATAAAGTCGGGAAGAAACAAACGATAAGCCTTATATA